TATTCCATTTATTTCTTTCTCTTTTCTACTTGCTAAGGCTGATGTTTCCAGAATAATATTGAACAGGAGTGGTGATACTGGGCGTCCTTGTCTTGTTCCTGATTTTGGGGTAAAATTTTTAGTTTTTGAACATTTAGTATTAAATTGGCTGTTTGTTTTTCATAGATAACCTTAATCAGGTTAAGATAAAGATCTTCTATTCCAATATTCTGTAGAGTTTTTATCATGAACGGGTGTTGGATTTTGACAAATGATTTTTCTGCATCTATTGAGATGATCGTATGTTTTTTTGTCCTTGGCTCTGTTAATATAGTTTATCACATTTATTGATTTATGTATGTCCTTTCATGCTTGGGATAAATCCAACTTGGTCAGGGTGTATGATCTTGATGAACCTCTGTATTCTGTTTGCCATTATCTTGATGAAGACTTTTGCATGAATGTTCATTAGGGAGACTGGCCTGTATTTCTCTTTTTGGGTTGGGTCTTTCCATGGTTTTGGAATCAAAGTAACACTTGCTTCCAGGAATGAATTTGGAAGTATTGCTTTCCTTTCCATTTCCTTGATGAGTTTAAAGAGTAATGGCAATAGTTCTTCTTTAAATGTCTTGTAGAATTCAGCAGTGAAGCCATCAGAACCTGGGCTTTTCCTTATTGGTAAATTATTTATTATACTTTCAATTTTATTCATTGTAATTGGGGTGTTTAGAATTCTTTTTTGTTGTTGTTTTGCTTAAATTCTTTTATTCATACATTTTAGGTATACAATACATTTACATTCATCACTGAGTACTTGTACATGTAAATGATGTATCTTGGTTCTTATTTTTTCTCCATTACCTGTGCACTCTTTACCCCCTCCACCTTTCCCTATTTTCATAGACTTCATTTCCATTTTTCCTTTTCTCATCATTTTCCCTTTCCCTTCTTTCCTTTCCCATTTCCCTCCAGTTTCCCCTTCCCATTTGCACCTTTTCTTCCTATTTCAAATTATCAATTATTCATTTCAATCATTTTAGTCCTTATTTACATGTTCAGTTTCTCCCAATAGAGAAGCTTTTTGGTATTTACAAATGTGTGTCCTATTTATTTCACTTAAGAGTATGGCCCCATTATGCATCCATTTTTCGATAAATGTCTCTGGTTTCTCATCCTTTATGGCTGAGTAGTACTCCATTTTATAAAAGAACCATATCGTCTTTACCCAGTTTCCAGTTGATGGGCATTTGGGGCATTTCCAAGCTTTAGCCATTATGACCTGTGCCACTATAAACATGGGTGCACATATATTGCTGTGGTATGATTCCTTTAATTCTTTTGTGAGGATACCCAGCAGGGAAATGTCTGGGTCAAATGGGGCCTCTAACCCTAGTTCTTTGAGCTATCACCATACTGATTTCTACAGTGGTCGCAGCAGTTTCTACTCCACTAACAATGGAGAAGAGTTCTTTTCTCCCCATATCTCTGTCAGTATTTGTTATTGGTTGATTTCTTGATAGCAGCCATTCTTTCTGGGGTGAGGTGGAATCTCAGTGTTGTTTTCATCTGCATCTCTCAAATGAC